TCTACAAAGTTTAAGTACAAGGTTGCCTGCCATTCGTTGACCTGTTCAATTATGTTCCGCAGATGAAGCTCCAACCATTTTCACAGCATTACCGCAGTAGGGTAGACTAGAACGGAACATATGCGAACCATGCGAGTAATCCACCCAATAAATCCCACCCATCCCACGGGAGGACCCCTAACCCTGTAGGAGACGGGACCTCCATTTATTCGTCCACATCTGAAAAGACTAGAATATCTAACCAGTTCTTGATGTTAGAGAAAGGTAACATATTCTTCTCAATTATTTTAAGACCTTGAGTGGTGGTCCGACCGGGGTCTTGAACCCTCGACCTTCCGCACAACATTCCAGCGCTCTATCCATTGATCTGATTTGTTGTTGCCCTCCCCTCTCTATAGCCTGCCTGTTCCTTCCTCAACCTTTTGTCCACTCCATTTCCTACTAACAGCTGCAGGTGAAGAAGAGACAAAAGAGTTCAAGTTTATCTCTTCAAGTTTGTCTTCTAAAATAATCAAAAACGCAAATTTACTTCTGAATTTAACTCACAATAAAATAGTTAAAAAATTTCCTAAAAATTTCCTAAAACATTAATAAGTTAATGTTAATTAACATTAATAAATTAATGTTAGTTTGTTTTCATTTTGGCCATCCATCTGTCGATAATTTATCCAACTTTCCATTCTCAGAACGATTAAAGTCCTTCGACACAAATCTCGGTAGTTTTTTTGTATGTAATTCAGTACTTGCCAAACCAACTTCCATAAATACAGGAAACGAGATAATTTATACCAATACATTGTGGTTCCAGAATTAAGGTAAAACGCGATAAAAAGACGGATGCTCAGATACCTGAGTATTAACTACCTGCCCGGCCTAATGGCGCTGCGCGTTTGTGACGTCACGAAATTTTGACCCCTTAGAGCCATTAGGACAAACAAACAGGCTTCTCGAGTAAAAGAATATGGGCGATGATGCGCCCATCTGTAGTTCAAACGCCTCTAAAGCTCGTATTCTAAATTAAAACGATAGTGTTCCTGGCTCAAAGTTCGAGCAAGACCAAGAGAACTATACAAACACACAATTGAAGCGTTGGTTAAAGTGTAGAGGCTTGAAATTAAGCGGAAAACGAGCAGACCTCATCGCACGTGTTCGTGACTGCCTCAAGTCGGGAAAACATTATGTACTTGATTCAAGTATAGATGATGGGAAATGGCTTCAGGCGAAGATACTAAAGGAAAGTAAAGTCGATCGCGTTTTTG